CTTCTCATTTTTTAAATTAATTAATATTTTTTTCTTTCTTTTTCACTCACTGACGTGTACCATTCAAAAGAAGTTTAACTTCCCGCGCGCGTACTGGTAACACACATGGTTTTTTTTCAAATTAACTCATTCGAGTTCACGTTCTTTAAAAAAATAATGCATTTGGTCGTTCATTTGTATGATAAGTCATAATATTAGTATACTTATTTATAAATTTTAATAACTAGAAATATTCTATATGCAATGGTAAAACGAAATAAAATTATAAACGATAATAATGTGGTCGAATACTATAAACGACAATACGGAACAGTCAGTACCGGATTAAGAGTTTACCGGGCCAGGAGTCTAGTAGTCATTACAATATTTATTACCAATAATTGAATTTTATTTCTTTAAAAAAATTATACAAAGTAATTGATTGTACAGAAATATCTTCAATTTTTTTTAATATTTGTCAATTTTCGTTACATGCAAATATACAATACAGTGAAACCTGACTTAACGGACACCTGTATATAACGGACACCTCTCTTAACGGACAAAATGACCAGGTCCCGGCAAAAAGATAGGCATTCTAATGTATTTCGACCTGTCTATAACGGACTCCTTCTATTACGGACACGGACACTAATATTTAATACAACAATTTCATATAACGGACAAAAATACATAGGATTTTCATATGTGAGCGAATTAATTATTCATCACGAGTGGGAAATGACCAAATCGATGCTCAAAAAACAAACATCAATAGAATCATTTTTTAAGAAATAATTAATAAATTTATACAAATATAATGTGTCATTGTATGTGTGTAATATAAAAATAATAATTGTAATTGTAATAAATAATTAAAATTAAATTTATAATGTATGTGTATAATTAATACATATAATATTATGTATGTACGTATAATAATAATAAAGATTAAAAACATTGAAACCTGTCTACAACGGACACCTGTCTATAACGGACAATTATTTTGGTCCCGTGACTGTCCGTTATATACAGGTTTCACTGTATATTATTCTTTAAATGCCAAAATATAAATATAATATTTTAAAACCAAATTTATTATCTTATTTTTATAATTTTTTTTTGGAACTCCACAATGATTTCATCTGTATTTATTTCTTTGAGTAAAGTATTGTATTCCAGTCCGATATTACCGCTCTGTCAGCATACGGGTGGCACTCAGTACAAGGCCTATTACAAATAATAAAATTACAAAAATTTAAAAAAATGTATAACCAAAATAAAATTTAACTTAAAATATTTTGAACTTGGTTTGGGATAAAATTTTCTGGAGCGTGGGCTCCTAGGCTCCATGCTTAATCCGGCCCTTCGGAACACTCCTTACTAAAAATAGTGTCAAACAAACTGTTATCATTCCCCTCCCACCCCCTCAGAGATTGCGCTTTATTATTGTTTATGTAAATCTCAAAGAGTAAAATAGCCAACTATTAATTATTATAACAATCCCTAGAGGAATAATATTGTAATGTTTTTATGTTTTTTTTTTTTTTATTAATTAACCCGAGGCAACTTAGGCCATTGGTTGTTTTTTAACTGTGGGGGAGGGCACCTAGTTGTAGGTTAAACACGTGTGTTTGTTAGTTTTGGCAAATTTTTTGTTCTCCCCGGACACCGTGACTTGCCTGAAGAACAAGGCCGCCAGCGGCCGAGGTTTTGAGCCGAAGTCGGTGCGCGTCTCAACCGACGCATTAGTCTGTTCGGCCACTCCGTGCCCCTATTGTAATGTTATTTTGGTAAGAAATGATTAGCCAGTTTCTATATGCCTGCAGTGTCCCGTGTTGTCGTTTTTAGTATTTGATGTAATATAATACAAGCTGTAATGCTGTATACATTATCTAATACTTTATTAGTTATTAGTTATGACTTATAAGTTATAAATAAGTATATAGAATAACATACAATATACCTACATAATAACTTATTAGGTATATTGCGTGAAACTATACGACTATACTATATTATTACGTATATTACTTTTTTTTAGTTTTTTCCAAATACGAATTTTACAATAAATTATTCTTAAAAGTACTTCAACCAACTATAATGGGTAAGTATAGGTATTCACAGAGGATCATAATTGTGTTGCCTATATGGTTTCAATGACAACAATATTATTTTTAACGATCATAAAATTATTGTGAAAAATAATTAATAAAACGGGCTTTATGCGTTAGTAAAGCTTTACGAAATGATTTGAGGAATACCATAAAAATAATTTAAATACTCTACAAGGCTGATTATGACCATGTGTAAATATAATTTTCATTTTTCAGACACCTAACTATATTCTGTTCGATTTGTGAGCAGGGATTATAGCAACAAGGTAGCTATACAGATAGTTGACACAGCGGCCCGTCCAAAAATGGTGACCGTCGACAACGTTAGAATAAGCTTAGGTTAGGTTTGGTTAGTACCATCACGCCAACACCAGTAAAGGCTGGTTTCCACTATACACACACGTGTGTACGTGCATACAAACCCTTTGATGTGATTGGTTGGTTAGATTAAGTTACCAAACGATTAATCACGATACCGTGTTGTTGGACATAGCTGAACATTTTTCGTGTACACGGCAAACGTATAGAGTATAGAGAAAACCCGTCTTAACGCCATCAAATTGTTTTACTCCTACCGATTCCAGAATGGTTATGTATTAGTATCCATGATTGTTATTTCTAGAGATGGAGAATTTACTTAAAAAAAAATATTGGTAAATTTACCAATAAGGTGGTAAAAATGGTAATATAGCTAAATCTTAGAGCCATTGTTATTTTTTACTATTACACATTAGTAAATACGATTTGTATTGGGTACTAATGTTGTATACCTAATTGTTGAATCTAATTCTTTCTAATAATAACAATAATTAACAAAAAATCTAAAATATGATAATATATATTATTATTCTATTGTTCTGTATTAGACATTAGTAATTAGTACATGATATGAAATATGAATATTTAATTATTCATATTACAATTAATAAATAATTTAAACTAAACTAAACTATCAAAATTCACATAATCTTTATTATATTTTAAGTCAAAACATGTATATTTAGAATTAACTTTTGTATTAATAATAATTAATAGTATATTATCAATATCATATTATCTGCCTTCTTGGTATCTGCGATCTGACCATAAAATGTTTCCTAATTACCTACTGATATTTAATGTTTTAAAATATAGTAGGGTTGGTAGAATATTGGTACTACCTATACTCTATAGTCTATAACAAACTATATAAACAATAACAAGTATATCAATATTATAAATGATAATATCACTGTATCAGTTGATAAAAAAGATATCTCTTTACAATTCAGACTAGGCGTTTTTGATTTCATTTAACTAGAGGGGCCACACAACATTTTTTTTGGTAAAAAATAATTTACCGGTAAAAAAAAGGGTAAAATGTATGGTAAATTTTTTTACCGGTAAAAATTTATCTGGTAAATTTACAGCACTCAAATCTCTAACTATTTCATATGTCACAATTTGTAATCCTAATTTCCGTATAATATAACAAGTTTGTTCTCATTATCAGTGGAATTGCCATTGCTAGTTGAATTGTCATTTTATATGAATTTTTCAGTGGATTTGTCATTGTTATTGAAATTTTTAGTAGAAGTATCATTGAAATTATATTTTTTTTCTAGTTGCATGTACTTGAAAAATAAAGAAATATGAGTACCACAAGTGCAGTTTTTTTTTAAGAATACTTTTCAAATGTATTCAGAATACGTATGTAAATAGTTGGTGTAATTTGTATTTAAAATACATTCTTTTAAAAGTATTTAAATACAGATTTAAATACTTTTAAATAGTATTCAAAATACTTAAACAAATACTTTTTTTTAAAGTTTAATAATAATACCAATATCTTATATTAAAATTACTAACAACTACCACCTATCAAATAAGAAGAAAGACTATTTTAAAGATTCAAGAGAAAATACAATCCAACTAGTGGTGGACGGTGGTCAGTCTCGTACGAGAGTGAGGAGAAAAAAGGAGTTTCAGTCATTCTGTTATCTGCTTGTATTTTGGCGAAACTTTGTGTATAAATTCTCAGAAGTTGGAACAATTATAAAATAATACTTTAGGAACAAAATTTAAAATAGAACATTCTGAAATATTGGTAATTGAAATTTGTAGTAGACCACTAGAATGAAAAAAGTATTTAGTATTCTAAAGTATTTAAAAATACAAAAAAAAAGTTTATTTAAAATACATTAGTTAAAAAGTATTTGAAAAGTATTTAAGATACATAAAAAGTATTTAAATAAAAGTATTTAAGATACATAAAAAGTATTTAAATACAAGTATTTAAGATACATAAAAAGTATTTAAATACAAGTATTCGAATACTTAACAAGACTGAGTACGTCTTGCAACTAGTATGGTAGTATCAAAATATCACTTTAAAAACCATAAAATTTTTTTTCGAAATTTAGAAAATTTAAAAATTTAAAAACAGTGTATAGAATCTAAACTAATTTTCGTTATTTTCAGATACTTGATACTAATTGTAAACACTTGGTACTCGTTATCAGTACTTTAAAGTTAATACCAACTATGACAAGTTTTTAATTAAGTGACAAATCTACAGATAAAATCCCACTGACAACTTGACAAATGACAAGTTCAATGATAATTCCACTGACAATGACAATTTAAATTAAATTAAATTCCAAATTATACTGACAGTGACAATTCTATTGACAAATTCAATGAAAATACCACGGCAATGACAATTGCAATAGCAATTCCACCGACTAGGTATGTCAATTTCAATTAATAAGTTACGATGATAATTCCACTGTCAGTGACAATAAAACTTGTCATGTTGAAATTATGATTTAAAGTCGTTACAAATGAAATAACAATTTACAGGATATTTACTTTGATGGTACTGGGGTAACGGACCTTAAACAGATATATTTTTTAGTATACCACATGATCGCCATACCACCAACCTTTGTCGTAGATCAACAATTTCACGAGTCAACCTTAAAACATTTGGTAGTCGAAACTATTAATTTAATTACAATTAAAGATCCATTTCCAATTCATCAAATAGATTTCATGATCAAATTAAAAATCAATCTCCTTACATTTAGACCACAAAATTATTACGATGATTTGGGAGGCGAACATGATTCATTCGAAGACCATATTTTGAGGTTTATAAATTTAGTTATTGAAGCTACTAGAAAATATAGCTTACAATTTACTAAAAATATAATATGTAGTTTTGCTGTGCAAGAAATGAAACTTGTAGGAAAAATATTAGTTGAAAAGGGAGATGGACCCGATCCAGAACTCATTCAATAAGTTACAAGTCATGAAACCCTTAATACCCTTCCATGAACCTCAAAATTGTTTAGGTTTGCCAATTCATTAAGACAGTATATTCATATATATATATATATATATATAAGCGAGAGTGTCCTGAGTGATTCATTCATAACAACGCAGAGCCAAACCTATTAGAGCTATCGATTTGAAATGTTGAAGGTAGATTAATATTATAATTTCACTTGTAATTTTATCTAAAATTGTAATTGGAAATTGTATACCAATCATGGTTTAAATATACCAGGTTATTGCACATAGCCTATATTGTTATCAAACAAAAATAAAGTGGCATCGTAAGGGTACGGTCCATATCATGCGTATAATATCATAGTATAGCCGCAGCATACGTCGTCCCCTTAAGCTGCCATTTTAATTCCTTAACGTGATAAAATTATATAGGGAGGGGGGGTACTATTGCAAAAACATTGTATATTTAAGCCATGATACCAATATTAAAAATAGCCGGCCAATTCGGACAGTCGGACTCGCGCACGAAGGGTTCCGTACCATTATCTAAAATTATGTCTGTTGTCATTTGCGGGGTGGGAAAAAAATTCAGGCCAGGTTAATAAATTTCCTCCCGGTCATTCAATATTTTCATCTCTTAAATTTATTTATTTATGTAAATAAAAAAATTATTATATAACTATTAAAAACTATTAAATTACTATTATTTATTAATTTTTAATTTATAAAATTACCTTATCAATGTATAGGTACTTATTTTATTAGTATTAACGCTATCGCGTTAAAATCAACTTTCGCTTGACTGTAAACAGTCGGATATCAAGTGTAACAGTTGTACCTACTACGAATAGCAGTCTCGGTGATGTCGAATATATCTGAATTTCAGCAGTTTCTCCTCAACAGTAGGTACTTGTTCCGGCGAGGAAAATAACAGTGGACTGTAAAATTTTGTAACTTAAAACGATTCACTATAATTCTGTATTGAAATTTATAAAACGAATCATTTTATACGACGTCACTCATGGCAACCATTTATGAACAATACGACGTTACTCGTGGTAACTATTTATAAACAACAATTTCTATCTGAAATCTCAAAATTCCCGTTTTAGCACCCCCCGAGGTTGCTCCTATCCCTTTTTTTAGTATTTGTTGTTATAGCATCCACGGAAATACATAATCTGTGAAAATTTCAACTTTCTAACTTTCATGGTTCATGAGATACAGCCTGGTGACGGACGGTCGGACGGATAGCCGAGCGAAAGTAATAGGCTTCCGTAGGGAAACGTACAGAACCCTACCCTAAAAATACATAGGCACAATTTTTTTTTATAAGCATTTAAAGATCGAATTTTGACAAAATTTATCAAAATTAATCGAAAATTATCATTATTGTAATTAATAAATTATAAAATGTTCAGTTTTTATAGCTAAGGATTGCAAATTTAAAACAAAGGTTCTCATAAATAGTTCATACTGTGAACAAAAAATTTAAAAAATATATGAACACAGTTATTTTTTACAGACATTTTAAATTCAAATTTGGACGAAATTACATAATAAAAAACCTATAGAATAACTGTTTTAGTTATTTTGTTGTGATTGTATAATATTATTCGTGGGTACTTGAAACTTCTAAAGTATACTACTAAAAACTTCATTGATATTAATTTAATAAACTCAAATCGGGTTATAACATTACCGGTGTATTTGGTCATTTGCTCCCTTAGGTTTTGTTCGTTATCGATCATGCTTTTCTTTTTTTAATTTTTACTTATTAATTTTATTTGTGTCTTTGACTGAACTTCAAGTAATTCATCAATAAAGTTAAAAATATTCGGATGTGGACTGTAAACGCGTCGGTTTAATCTCGAATGATACGATTCACAACTATTGGTTGTACGCACGGTTGTGGCAGCAAATGCGGACCAAATATTCGGGGGAAATCGGTGAGATAGTAAGATGACGGTATCTTACTATCTCACTATATATTATAGTATATACGTACGAACAAGTCCTTACTTATCGGTACCTACCTTAATTGTGTTTAACCAAAGGTACGATGTTACAAAGTTATGGACTTTTATTGAATGTGAATGCTTTGGTGTTGTTAAGAGTGTATCGTTGGGGAAAAATATTATTATATAATTAATAATTATTATTTAAAAATCGTTTCCCCGCCCCCCGGGACTCAACTTACCTACTACCTGTTTTTCCCCGGGACTCAATTTACCGAGTTAGGGTCATTTGGGACTCAATTTACCAATCCCGCTATATATCTATGATAGTATCAGGGTTTGTTGTTGGTGTATAGCGGGTTATAAATACCTAATGGATATTGTGATATGATTAATTTGGAATTCATTATAGGTCAATTTTTTTTAATACCAAAGATAAGTATATAATATGTCTTATACCTAGAAGGACATACAGTCTCCGCTCAGAATCGTTTTTCTTCTACAATGATATAATATCATTGAATTCAAATTTAATACCATCCATTATACAGTGACCCACTCGTAACCTACTGTACAGCAGAGCGACACCCACTTGCCCACATTTTTTGAAATTAAATTTTAGATTCTGAGTGGAAAGATGAATGTATTGATTATACAATGATGTGTGTTTTTTTTTTATTTTTTATTTTTTATTTATAATTTTTTTAATTTTATTTTAGATTCTGAGTGGAACGATGAATTGTATTGATTTTACAATGATGTGTGGTTTTTAGGGTTCCTTCCGTCCGTCCGTCTGTCACCAGGCTGTATCTCATGAACCATGAAAGTTAGAAAGTTGAAATTTTCGCAGATTATGTATTTCCGTGGATGCTATAACAAAAAATGACTAAAGAAAGGGATAGGAGCAACCTCGGGGGGTGCTAAAACGGGAATTTTGAGATTTCAGATAGAAACTTTTGTTTATAAATAGTTACCACGAGTAACGTCGTATTGTTCATACATGGTTGCCATGAGTGACGTCATATAAAAAGATTCGTTTTATAAATTTCAATACAGAATTATAGTGAATCGTTTTAAGTTACAAAATTTTACAGTCCACTGTTATTTTCCTCGCCAGAACAAGTACCTACTGTTGAGGAGAAACTGCTGAAATTCAGATATATTCGACATCACCGAGACTGCTATTCGTAGTAGGTACAACTGTTACACTTGATATCCGACTGTTTACAGTCAAGCGAAAGTTGATTTTAACGCGATAGCGTTAATACTAATAAAATAAGTACATATACATTGAGAAGGTAATTTTATAAATTAATTTATCTTATAAATTTAGGTTGTTTTGTAATTATTTAGTAATGGGCAATAAATAATCACGGTATCCTTGAACGTTTCAGTGGATAAATTTAGCTTCTTTTTGCATTTTTATTGGTACCTACTGAATTTTTTTCCCACCCCGCAAATGACAACAGACATTAGATAATGGTACGGAACCCTTCGTGCCCGAGTCCGACTAGCACTTGACCGCCGACTAGCACTTGGCCGGCTTTTTTATTTTTTTTTAAGTTTAATTTTGTTTATCTTTTTTTTTATTTTTATTTTTTTTTGTGTCTGTTATCACAATTTATTACAGTCAATTTGCTTGGATTTTCTTCAACAGTATCTTTTCTGATAGGAAAGTGAATCTAGTTGGTACTTTGGGGGGTCAAAAGTAAAAATTTTCCAGTCGTTTTCAAAAGCACAGTGAAAAAGAATAGAAATATGAAGGAAAATACGGGAATTTTTATGCTAAATCGATTTTGGTTTTTGGTTTAACTCTAAAACAAATGAACGTATATACATGACATTTTAACAGATAGCTTCTATTTTCATTTTCTATACACATTACAATTTTCAAAACATTTTGATTTGTTTTGAACTGTTTAGGAACATTTCCAGTTTCCAATTTTATTAGTCTTTTTTTCTATGAACGTCAATAAAACTTTATTTGTTGGGTAATAATTCTTGAATATTTAATACAAGGCTCCTACTATATTGTTTGAATAGCAGTTGAAAAATATTCAAAATCCTTAGTCACAATTTTTTTTATAAACATTTAAAGTTCAAATTTTGACAAAATACTAAAAAATCACGAAAATTAGCAAATTATTTTGAGTTGAGAATTCATAAAAATTTTTCTCTTTAAATCTAAGATTTGAATATGTAATACAAAATTACTCATAAGTTTATCTATCTTTATCAAAAAAAAAAAATGTCTACAAGCAAATCAAATTAAATTTTTATGAGAGTTTGAAGTTCATAATTTTACAATATTGGATATTCACTCGATTTCTCATGTAGCGGTTATATTATTTTATTGTTATTCAAAAACGAATAACTGTAGATACATGAAAATTTTAATGAATATTTATATTTTCATATTCTATACACCATACAAATTTGAAAATGTTTTGACTCTTTTTGAGCTGTTTACGGACATTGTCAGTTTTCAATTTTCTTAGTTTTTTTTTCTATAAATATCAATAAAGTTTTATCTGTTAGTCCAAAAAGTGTAAACATTTAATACAAGGCTCCTGATATATTGTTACAATATCAGTTGAAAAAAATTTAAAATACATGTTTAAAATACATTTTTTTTTATAAGCATTTAAAGATCGAATTTTGACAAAATTTCGAAAATTATCAATTATTGTAATTAATAAATTATAAAATCTTCAGTTTTTATAGCTAAGGATTGCAAATTTAAAATAAAAGTTCTCATAAATAGTTTATACTGTAACCAAAAAATCTAAAAAATATATGAACACAGTTATTTTTTACAGACATTTTAAATTCAAATTTGGACGAAATTACATATTGAAATCAATATTAACGATCTTTGGTTTTTTGTTGTAATTTAAAAATATTATTCGGGGATATATGAAACTGAAAAATCAAAATATTATGACCTATCCATACAATCTACCATAGTATAAGGAATAAGAAGTATGCTCAATGATAAGACTGTGCATATTATAAGGGGCAATGAATAATTTATTCATAAATTCCATATAA